TACGGTTTTATGTTTTACCGAATCAATTTTACTAATCTTATTCACTTTGCTTGATTTTAATGATCTCATAGGAACTAATAATCCAACGTGGCTAGGCCGTTGATTCTAAAAGATTAATATCATAAATCTCGTAGGTAAAATAAATTAATAATATATAAATAAAATAATAGAATTAAGAAAAAAAGAAATTCAAAGAAAGATTATAACATATAATGTTTCCGTTGGTAAAATAGCAAAACTCATTAAATTCACAACAAACTGTGTGTCACAGCGTGATTTAGAAATAAGGTGTGCCTTATACAAACCGATCGACTAGATGAATTTTAATTTTGATAGGAAAGGCCTTGGCCCAGAGTACACGCCGCTAACCGAAAAAGAATTCTTACCTTTACCCACCCTCTCTTATTTTCGTCCTCGTATATTCATTCTCGATCATTGATCTTGAACTTGATCTTACTCGATCTCTCCCCTCTCTTATCCCTCTTTCTCTCTCTCTCTCTCTCTCTCTCTCTGTTACACTACCAACTCAACATACCAGTCCACGCGAAGTCAATAAATATAGTGTCTTACGTAGGCAGATGGAATTTATTCACAAGGGTCATTATTCCTTTGGTAAAGTTGCTTCAGGCGCCATACTCTCTTTCTTTTTTTCCATTTCGAACATTTGAAAAAAGATCATTGACTTTTGTTCGTCGAAAAAAATAGATTTAAACTTGCCGTTAAACCTATAACCCTTCCATTCCTCTATTTTTAGATTCTATATTTCTTTCATCCCAACTTAGCCCTTTGATTCCTTTGAATAAGAAAAAGAGAGAAAGAAAGAGAGAGTTAAGAGTCTGACCCGTTTTCAATTAGTTTTATTATTTACGAGCATTACTTGTATTATTTTTCTACGATAAGCAAACGAGTTTTTATATCAGATATTATTACTGGATCGTAATTAAGCGAAAAGGGTATTACTAATTGGCGTGACTCGAAAGATCAAGTTATTTTTTTTTTGTGTATTCAACATATTTTTTTATCTATTTATTTTATTTCTTCATAATTTTATTCTCGATGTTTCACTATTTATTAATTTCGGTTTAAGGACTTAAGAGAGAATATTTAATATTATTGATTAGCACGCATACGCTCGAAAACGTTTTACTTATATAGAAGAGGAAAGTAAAAAAAAAATCTTCGTTAAATATTCCGCGATCGTTGCTACAACATGTTCACTAGAACAAACTAGGAGCAACCTTGATAGCTAATATTATTATCCTTGTATCCTTTTGGCTCGTCAGACATGTTAGAATTTATCAAAATAAATTGAAGACTCGTTCCTAAGAATTAATGAGTGACACTTCGTTGAATGAATATTAGCATCTTAATTAAAATAAATATGAAAAAGTAAAGATAGATATGAAGTAATATAATGTATTATTACACTAATTTAGGTAAAGGTTGAAAAGCAAATATGTCGACATTGAAAATACACCTTTTCGTTTATCTTTTTCTCACCATCAGAGAAATCAACGAACTCCAGAATTCTTAGATTTAATACGATGTTTCATAATGAGTTAATTTATATATATATACATACTTAAATTTGTGAAATGTGGTATTTATGCTATTTTATTGCTTGAAGCATTCTTGACAATTATCGTTCACCGGAAATGAGCTGATCTAATGCGCATTAAATAGTTTATACGAAGGGAAATATTCCAACGTTACTAGCATTATTATTATTATGCGATTAGTTCAAAGGGTATTTCTTATATGTGTACTTTTAAACTTTTTTTTCACACTTCTTCATCATTTACCATTTCCGCTACGATTTTTTCTATCTTCTTTTTTTTGTCTATTTCTATAATTTTCGTATTTATATAAACCTAGAAAATATTTTGATTTTGATAGACATTTATAATTTTTTTTTTTTTTTAATTAAATGATACGGATACTTCAAATTAATGATTTTCAATTTAATTGATTACATATATATATATATATATATATATATTAAAAAAAAAATAAGAAATTGGTATAATTACATTTTTCATTCGTAAAATGATTATAATTAATTTAAACGTTTATTGAACATTTTGAATTTTTTTGCAAACACAAAATTTTCATTTTTACGATTTATTTTATTAAATTAAATCATCTTATTCATTTCTTTTTATGAGAAAGTTATAACTCGTATCATTGTTGGTATCTATCTATAAAACAAATAAAGCCTTTCTACTATATATCAACAGATGATAAACCATAAAAGTTTTATAATTTTGATATATCTAACGATTCCTCATAATACATTTTTTTGCAAATAGAAGCATCGTCAAGTTTAAAAAATATTCGCAAAAATAACGTATGTTTGCTTAAACATTAAATTCCTATTAACATTCATAGAATATAAAATAATTTTGATTTAATATTTTTTGGTATGAAAACTTCGAGCTGAGAATTACTACTGTACTAAAACGTTTAGACAAATGTGATTTTTCATAAACAATTTTAAAAATCTTAAAACAACGTGAGAATTAAAGAAGAATTATATCCCTGTTCTTACCCACTATCGATAATAGTAAATTCTTCTTTTATCTTTACCGTATTTATATATTTCTATTTTATCATTGCTGATATACAAAAGACATATATTCCTTCTTTGTAAAAGCTAATTGATAATAATTATAAAAAAAGCTTATTTTGTGGTTTTTTTTCTTTTTATTGCATTTACAACAAATATCAAATCATTGTATAAAACACTAATTTCTTTATATCTATTTTATACTTCAGATAACTTTGCTTAGTTAAAAAAAAATATTAGAATATTTTTGACATTATCTATAAATTTAAAAGAAATAAAAGTATTGTAGATAAAAAACAAAAAATTGAAACTAAATATTTAAAAATTTTATGATACATAATTTTTTAAAATAAATAGCTTTTAACTAACGACATTACTTGTTCGTTTATATGTAATGTGAAGAAAACGTTAAAGATATAAATGCAAATGTTACGATCTTATGGTTGTCGCAAGTAGTAATAACTAACAAAATATTTTCCCATTTGATTTCTCTGAAGTTAGAGCAACATTATTATAATCTATAAGATAGGTTTTAGACACTTGTAGATTCGATAAAAAAAAAAAAGAAACTACGGTCTTTTAAACTTTAAAACGCAGTTAAATGCTATTTTCTTTTAACATGAAGTATAAACAATTTGTTTTATTGATTCAGTTTTCTTACGTTTACACATTACACAACTTCATAAAGTTTACTCTCTTAGAAAATTGATGACGTTACTCTTTTTTATTGACAGCTTTCGTACTGTTGCAAGACATTGAAAATAAAAGTTGTATTTGGTCAACGCGTGTCCACATTGCTCTCTAGAAATTATATAAAGATATTCAAATGTTTATTAGAATGATACGAATAATTACCCACGAATGTAAAATATGCTTATATAACTATGTATATTAGGGTGGGTCAAAAAAATAAATTATTTTTTTTTACAAGTGACACGGAAAAATGGGTTGCTAGACACCTTAAAAAAATTCTCACCAAATATGAGCTCTTAATTTTACTAGGAAGATCCTCCGCATCGCAGTTTTTTATTTTTTTCTCAGTCCAATATAATAAAATTCATACCTCATCATTTTTTGTAGAGCATTAAATTTCCTATAAAATTCTTCCACAACATTTTTCTGTACAATCAATTAATGATGAGGTATGAATTTTATTCTATTGGACTGAGAAAAAAATAAAAAACTGCGATGCGGAGGATCTTCCTCTTAAAATTAAGAGCTCATATTTGGTGAGAATTTTTTTAAGGTGTCTAGCAACCAATTTTTCCGTGTCACTTGCAAAAAAAAAATAATAGATTTTTTTGACCCACCCTAATGTACATATAATTAAGCGCATATTTATAATCTTGGCTGATTAGAATTCATATAGGTAGCCTTTCCAATGTAATTGTTGTAATTATTCTTGAGTACTTTTCTTTATATATTTTTTATTTGTATAATCAATAGATATTATATAAAAAATATAATATATACAAAAAATTTTCCCAAAAACTTTAATTTTGATAAAAAAAAAAAAGGAAAAAAATATATGGAGATTGAAGGTTGTACAAGTTGATATTTATACATAGACGATCTAAAAAAAGTACATGTAATGTTTATTCGCGTTCAAGAACGTTCAATACATATATACATCGTCCTTGCTATAGCGTTTACCTGCCACACATAGTAAAAAAGTGCACACGAAGAATTTAAATGAACTTGAATTAACTCAACACGGAACATCGACCCAACCTAGAATCACTACTATAGTTTATTTTACGAGGAGGTGACAATTAATTTGAAGAATTATAACTAAAGGATATATTTAATATCATAAATTTAAGTGTTACAAAACAAAATTAATTATAGTAATATTAATAAAGATAATCTATACGAATGCTTTATTTTTGTGACAAAATAATCAAAATTGTGACAAAATTATCAAAAAACTCAGTTTTCGTTTAAAACATCTTGTCACAATTAAATGATCATTGAACGACTCTTCAGTATCTCATTATCATTTTAAGGATTGACTTTAACTTACAAATTTATAAATATATATATATATATATATATATATAAAATTCAAATTATTAAATAATAATAATTCATTTTCCTTTGGAAGAAATAATTTTTCTATATAAATATAAAGAACGCGAGAATATTTACAATGAAATATATGAATTATATGTTAAAAATAAGTACATGTATTTATAATTTACTCGTTTCATTAACATCACGCAAATTGAACTAGAAAACGTCACGTTTCAGTACGTGGTTTATTTAAAATATATAAATCTTGTTGAAAAGACAAAAAAACAAAAAGAAAAGCTGAGCAAAGAAATAAAAGATATTTTTAGATATTATAAGAGGATATTTAAAATAAATACTTTTTTTCACAAATATTACCAACGTAGTAGAAATGAAACTAATCCAATTTAACTCGTACGAAAAGAAAAGGAAAAAAGGAAATGTAGCGAACAAGAGGGAACCGGATGTATTCAAAATTGACAAAACGAAGGCCTAGAAAAAAGGATCGATTTAACAAAATCGATGATGACTATTAGTTTCTGAATGAATGACAATGACCGATAACAATAATGATAGCGATGATAATAACGAAAACGAAATTGAAAAGGAAAATGAAAACAAAACCGAAAAGTTAACAGACGACGCATGCGTTGACGTTTAAACACTTGTCGCGTTCAGAAGCACGCGGAAGAGTGGTGCGCGCCAATCGTGAGAAGCTATAGATCCGATCGGTGTGTCGAACAGGTAGATTGTACGAGAGACGATCTTCTCTCTAAAAAGATTCTGTGAGTTTCGTGACAATATCTAAAAACAACTTCAACCGTCTAAATCTATTTATTCTTTTTATTTGTAATTTTGTATTTTTTAAGATAATACCTGTTTAATAATTAAATTTGATTCGTTCGACCTTAAAGAAAAGAGAAAAGAAAAAAACGGATGTGGAAGAGAAACTATCGTTATAATTACAGTTGTGTAAAGCTAAACGAGTTTAATGGAATATCTACAACAATGTCAGAAATCGATGGCGGGGAGACTGTAGTGATTAATCGTTAAACTGTCAATGTTTTATCATTCCAGTAAGTATAAATATTGTATATTTTATTTTTATTCTCAAATTATCGTATAATTCATCAGTAGATTCTTATTGATCATAATTCTGTAGACATGTCATTAATTAAAATTAAACTTAATTCAATATTTTCGTATAATTAAAACAATTTAAAATAACATTGGTAACGTTAGGGGGGAGGGTTTCGCTTTTATTAAATATTTACCACCTGGAAATAAGCACAGTTAAACGTAGCTTACCCGCGTGTTTTGATCTTAAGACCCGCCAATTGTTCCGTACAAATTGGCTAATTAGAATTGTCTCCTTTGCAGAACAATTAAAATTGTTCGCTTAAGTAGTTAGTATAGTAATCCTAACGTTAGCGATTATATTTCAAGGCATGATTAAATATCTTTTGCATTGCGTAGTTGGCGAAGATCTTTAAAAAGTCGGTGATGCTTCTTTATAGTCGATTTTATTACGATTCAACGACGACTTGTTACTGACACCAAACGTCGCAACGTCGTAACGTTAAAAAAGAAAAAGAAAAGGAAGACAAATAATCATCCTATTTGCTTACAAAGGACGACGTAACGAATGTAATCGACTAACAAACATGACTGGGATCAGCTTTAAAAAAATAATTAAGGAAAGAATTCCTCTCTTAAAATGGTTACCTCTTTACAGAGGCAAAGATGCGCTCGGTGACCTCGTTTCTGGTCTCACAGTCGGATTGACCTTGATACCTCAGGTACTTTCAAAAGCATGTGATTACGTTTATAAATTACGTGAACGACGTTATACATGGTCGAATGATTTAACTTGTCCTTTGCTTTCTGGATTTAATTATTATCAATTAGGCGATAGCATATGCAGGATTGGCTGGTCTTAGTCCGCAATATGGCCTTTACAGTGCGCTAATAGGAAGCTTTGTTTATATCTTTTTTGGTACCTGTAAAGAAGTCAACATTGGTCCCACCGCTCTAATATCCTTATTGACGTTCACTTATGCGAGGTAAGAATGTGATAAAAGAAATTATTTTCATTCGATACATCATTATTTGCATAATATACTATTCGAACAAAATTATTATAATATGTACTAATGTATCTTTCGATAGACAAATATTGACATTGCAAAATAAAAAATTGATCAAAGTATATAGAAATAAAATATTCTGTAAAATATATATCTTTTGTTTACCTTTAATAAATGATTTGATTCTCGCTAATTTTAGAATACGTCATTTAACACATAATTAAAACAAAACAGTATACAGGAAAGTATAAGAGTTGTTATTTTTTCAGGGGAATCCCAGAGTACGCAATCCTTCTCTGTTTCTTGTCAGGTTGCGTAACTATTATCTTTGGCATTCTGCGACTAGGATTTCTAGTAGAATTTGTGTCGGTGCCTGTTGTTGCTGGTTTTACATCTGCAACAAGTCTAATAATTGCTTGCAGTCAAATCAAAGGTCTTTTAGGTTTGAAAATACACGCCGAAAGTTTTATAGATATATGGAAGGAATTGTATAATAATATTGATCAAACGAGATTTCCAGATCTTATTCTTTCCTGCTGTTGCATTTTTGTTTTACTGCTTTTAAAGGTTTGTATATAATCGACAAGACAATTGTATGTTCTATAGATTGTACTTGTGTTATAGCACAAACATATTTGTATACAATCGATGTCATTATGCACGAACTATTAAAAAATGATTCTTGTTAATTCCGTTATTTGCATAAGAAAAGAACCTGAATCAATGAACTTGACAAATAGTTGATGACGCCAATGATTACGTGATAGCCTGTAATTGTAAAATCATTTTTATATTGTATCAACAATTTCCGAAGATCTTACTTTTAATTTCGTATTGCAGATTCTGAAGGATATCAAATTTCGAAACAAATTCCTAAAGACGTTCCTTTGGTTCCTAGGAACAGGGAGAAATGCCCTTGTTGTTCTTATTTGTGCCGTAGCATCGTATATCTTTGAGATTCAGAATGGAGCACCTTTCCTTCTTACAGGACACATCGATGCCGGTTTACCGCGGGTGGAACCACCATCCTTTACGATTACAATCGGGAATGAAACTCAAACTTTTCTCGATATTTGTAAACATTTTGGGTCTGGTATTATTGTTGTATCATTGATTTCTATTATAGGAAACGTTGCCATTGCCAAGGCCTTCTGTAAGCTTTTAATATATCATTTTTTGTTTACTCTTACTTCTTTAAAAATTCAAATAAATGTTTTATATAGTTATTATTTTTTAGCACGCGGACAAACTTTGGATGCCACGCAAGAGATGTTAACTTTAGGACTTTGTAATGTAATCGGTTCGTTCTTCCAATCCATGCCAATTACTGGTTCTTTTTCTAGAAGCGCCGTAAACAACTCTTCTGGTGTTAGAACTCCACTAGGAGGACTTTATACAGGTAAATCGCTGATATTTTCGCAATTTAATGAATAATATTCATAATATTAATCGGCTGATATTGTTTTTAGGCATTCTGGTTATACTTGCTCTAAGTCTATTAACGCCATATTTTTATTATATACCTAAAGCTACTTTAAGTTCAGTTATAATAAGTGCAGTCATATTTATGGTTGAAATAAATATATTACGGCGGATTTGGAGAAGCAGTAGTAAGTATTTATAATTGTATTCGTCACATTATTTTAAATTAAAAATTAACATATTATAATTAATAGTGAATATTTAAAATTTATTTACTAAATATTTGATTTTTTTTTTATTTTTAAAGAAAAAGATCTTATCCCAGCTTTCGTCACGTTTTTCGCATGCTTGTTCGCCGGTGTTGAACTGGGAATTTTGATAGGAATCGCAATCGATCTACTTATATTAATTTATTTCAATGCCCGACCAACCATGTACATTGAATATAGAAAAGTCTGTAATGAAAAATAATTATATATATATATATATATATATATATATATATATATATAAGCTCACTATATATTATTAAGTATTCAAGTAATAGAAATATAGCTAACTTTTTATATTTTTTATTGTTGTAGAATCCCGTAGCAAATTACGTTCTCGTTCGTCCTAGCTCTGGACTTTTATTTCCTGCAGTTGATTATCTGAGGATATATTTGACTGAGACGTTAAACGATAAAAAGCATAAGAAATCATTGTTACATTCCAAAAACATGAAATATGTCGTATTAGATTGCGGATATATCGACAAAATCGATTTTACTGCGGCACAGGTAACATCGTGGAATCTATACTTTTAATTTTTTTGATTTATGTTTGTTAATAAATTTAATAATTCTTTTATTGTGTAGGGCATTAGCACTTTGGTAAAAGATTTCAAAGATAACGATCGCTATTTAATATTACTACGACCGATCACAGAAATTTTACAAAGCATACAATCTCTTAGCAACGAGCCGATAGTTATTGCAAAAACAGATGTGGAATTGTTAACCATGTTAAAAGAGTTCAATGGAATTAAGCGCATGAATTCAGAAACATATACCATACATAATAATTTTATAAGAAAGACTGTCGTCGATGCAAGAGACGAGTTCGCCAGTACAAATCTGTGATTTATTTTAAATCGATTCATCGATAAAAAACAATACAACACCACAGAGTATTATTTTTCGCATAATTCCCCTACAGGTTTGTTTTGTAAATATGTTAATGTATAATATTAAAAAGAAAGAACACATAGATTTAATACACATATTACAAAAATTGATTTTATTATTTTTAATACAAAATGAAAATGATGTATAAACTATATAATAATTAATAAGAATGCCTCATATAAAAAAAAAATAGAAAAACTTAAAAATTAGATATACTTGTCTATATATTATTTTATTACAAAGTTTTTATACGTTAACTTTTTTGTCATCTTTAATCTATTTAATTGAAATTATAATGAATCAGTACAACGAAAAATGAAAACATTTTAAAGAAATAATTTTTTATAACATAAAGTCCGGTTTTTATTACATAAATATAGGAACTTACAAAACATACTGTTCCAAAAAAAAAGACTTGTTTATATTTTAATACAAATTTTCATAAAATTTCACAAATATATGAATTACTTTTTTTATTATTATTAATTAAAAAAGATATACTCTGCTGAAAGTCATGATAAATGTATTGCTTAATTAAATTGTAAGTAAATTGCTTAATATTAATAATGGAAGAACTTTATACTAATAATACCAATCGTATAAACTATTACATGAATTATATGAAAAACAAAGCTAACCATATTATTGTGTTTTATAGCTTGAATTGTATTGCTGTTTAAATATCTTTTTTCCACAATCAGTGTTTGCATTAGATACATACTCTTTGGAGAGAAAGGAGCGTCTATTGCCTTTTTTATTTTGTGAATTATAACTCTGAGGTGATTCTCTTATTTCATTAAACTTTGTTTGAGGTCCTGTGACTTTATTATTTGCAAGAAAACTGCTTCCATAATTCATATAATCTTTTGGTGATATTATTGGAAGATTATTAATTTCTTTATCTAATAGCTCATTGTCTTGATTTTTTTGCTCTTGATCTATGTAACATAAAAAAAATTAAAATATTAAAAAAACTAAAATAGATGTTATTTATAATACAACAAATTTCTAAGATCAAATGTATACTTTTTTTAATTTCTAAACTCTTATTTTACTTACCTATTTGTTCTGGCATATTTATTATGACTTCTTGTGCCTTTAAATTACTGTTATATGCTTCATTGTTTTTTAAGCTTGTATCATTATACCAAGACTTAGATATAGGTTTCATAAAATTTCTTCGCACGTTTTGCTCACATGAAACTTCTGTCCGTACATAAGGTGGACTTTGTGTTACCGCACCAGGAGTCTTGTAAATTATATTGTTTGATTGCAATTGATTACAACATAACATACAATTACATTGATTAGGATTTGTAACGATGGTTACTGGTGCTGGATAAATATTAGGTGAATTCCAATGGTGGAAAAGTAAATAATTATTTCTGCAGACAGGGCAATTATTTATGCAATATAAAGGATTCATTCCATATCCATGTAAGTTATATTGCTCATCTGCAATTATCATAGGATGTGTACCATAGTTTGGCTGTGGTCTAACCACATTTGAATTATTATATGGAACCATGTTTGGCATTTGATATTGCATCATATTTGCATTTTTTGTATTTGTAGGTAAGTTTTGATTAGATATGGAGCTTGTATTCATTAAATTGTTTTGCATAGTTGGTACATTTCCATATTGATTTAAATGCACTGCATTTACATCAGAATTGGGCACATTAGGAATTAATGAGGACAAAGTATTATTTATTGGACAACTTCTTCCAAGTGGATCAGTGATGGGATGAATAAAATTGTGATGTGAAGATGTCTGTTGTTGATAAATGTTTTGCTGTCCATTTTTATAATTATGCCAAACATTAGAAGAGTACATATTATCAAATTGTGGATTACTATCACAGGAGTCATTATAAGCACTTTCCTTAATATTTTGGTTATTTGTTTGTAAATTTGGTAAATCTTGCAAAGGTGAATTTATACATATCTCTTTTTGTTCTATGCATTCATTAACGAAATTATTATATGAAAAATCTTGTATAGTATTTTCATCAGTTTTTTCTATCTCTTTAGAAGATATATTCGTTTCTTGTTTTACAGAGTTAGTTACTAATTTATCATCAATAAATTCATTAATGCATTCATCTTTTAAAGTTGGTGTTTTTGCAACTTGCTCAGTTTCTATTGTTACATGTGGTTTTGCATTATCAGATTTATTATCAGAAGTTATTAATTTATTATTAAGAGCACAATACTCTTCATTTAAATTAAATGATTGTGCAGTTGTTCTTAATTGTATGGGTTGAAATGAATTTGAATATTTTTTCTCCTTAGCAACAGAATATTGTGTAGTTTCTGATGAATCATTGTATGTTTTCGGTATTGATTTGTTTTCTGTTTTCCTGTATGAAGAGTTCATACGATTTACTTTAAATTGCTTGTTGACATTATTTGAGATTGTTTTATTTTGTTCATTTTCTTTAACATTCTTACTGGCACATCTTGATGGAGATTCTGAAGAACACTTCATATCAGATTCCTTCTTAAAATCTTTCATTTCATTTTTGAGTTTATTGTCAATTGTAACAGTCTGATTTTCATATATTTTCTTAGATTTAGCAGAAAAATTTGAAGTTTTTGATAAATTAAAACTACATGTATCATTTTTAGTAGTGCATAATAGATCTGGACTTTTTTCTTTTAAGTTAATATTATTACTACTTTTTTCTTGGACGTTATCTAATAAAATATATGTAAAAAAAATAAGATTTGTAAAAGAAAAATTGTTGCATATATAAAAATGAATTCTTTTGGTTACCTTTTTTTAATGCCATTGTCATCGCTGTACCAGATTTTGAATTCAATTTTTTTACGCTACTCAATTTATCATTATTATTTTTATCATCAATATTTGTTTGATTTGTTTTACTTATATTGTCTTGTACTTTCAGCGGAACAAGATTACTCACTACAGCGTCTCTAATTATTGAAATGTATAAATATATACAACTCAAGTATTACATTGAATGTTTATAAATTATATGATCAACTTACTGACTTGTATCCTCTGTTGCTATACTTAACATACTGGAATTGTCCTTTTCTTGATCCTCCAACTTACATTTCATTTTAAAATTTTGTATGATCAAACTATCAGTATTAGTCATATTAATTATTTCTTTCTCTTCCAATTGTTTTAAATCTAATTCTGGTTTATTTAAAAGTGAAGAAGTATTTTCTCTTTTATTTTGTAAGTTCCAAGTAGATACCGTATTTGTTAATAGAACTGATTTTTCAGTTATGTCAGTTTCAATTTCAAAATTACATTTATTGTCATGTGTTATAAAATTAGTATTAATAAAGTTTGGTAAGTCTACGTTATTGTTTACAGAAGTATGAGTGGACTTAACCACTTCAAGATCTTTTAAATTTTTTACGCCTTTCTTTACACTATAATACAACAAAATGGTATAATCTTTTATATAGATTTCTTAGTAAATAATAAATTAATACAAACATTTCATATATATAATGGATGTTAATATAAAATCTACTAATTATACAAAACAAAAATTTCATAAGTTTATTACATAAAAGAAATATAATTATATGATATTTTCACATTCTTAAAAAATTAATAAATTGAACATACTAGCCTGATAAAGGTACATTATTTTTTAGCCACTGCATATTTTGCAACTTGCTAATAACAGCTACCTGCTGTTTTTTAGACGTATTTTGTAAAGTTTTATTTTGATATTCCATTTTACCTATCGTACAGACGCGATTGGTAATAATATTAATTATTATTTTTAACAAATACAATTAATGAGTAAATAAGTTAATTTAACATTAAATTAATATCTACAGAGTAAATATATATAGCATAAGAAAATATAACACGCATTAGATAAAAAAAAAAAACATAAACAAAATATCAAATAAAAACACCATAGGTCAAACAAAATACATACATGGCAACATCTCCTAACATAGAGTTGAAAATTCGTATTATTATCAACGGTTATTCGATTTGCATCACAAAGTATTTATTTACATATTGAAACAATGAATAATACGAAAATTATATAAATAGTAATTACTCTAATGACACATAAAGAATAATAATAAAAAATATAAAATAAAACGGTAAAGTGGAAAGAGAAATGAACGCAATATGACAATGCTTTAAACACGTTTTTCAAATATACGAACGAAATAAATAATAATATATTTTATACTTACCACTTAATAATGTATCGTCAGACTCACTTAATATTTAAACTTTTGTACTTATCACAAAATTATTTATTCTATTACTTTAAAAATCTAATAATCGCACACTGTATAATATCGAGATGTCATTATTTTGATAACTTTCTGCTTACTTCGTTGATTTTCGATAACGAGAAAATTCAAACGTATATCAATTCAAATATTGGAAGTTTTACAAAGTACAAAAGGGATGTTATTATTTTTAATGTATATAATAAGTTTTAAATATCAATCTTTATAGGAAGTCAACGTTTAACTACTACTCAAACATAACTGATCCACGCCTACAGTTTGAAATGTGAACGATTGCAAAATTTCAAACTCCGTTTTATTCATTGGTCACAACTAATTGCAGATTCGACCAATTACAGTGAAGATTAATTTCATTGAATAATCAAATCACAGATTTTATATTCTAATTGAAAATATCTGTCGTAAAAAGTAGCATTAGAATATTAGAATAATAAGCAAAATTTAAATTAATTTTTTATTATTATAATTATATTAAAAAAACAGATATTTATTTATAAATATTATTAATTTATTCCTAAATTTATTGCAATAATTTAGAAAGGACAATAGCGATAAAATCATTGAAAGATTATCATCTGTCGATAAGTCTGGATTGCAATGCCATCTTTGCGCAATGAAATCGTACAAATAAATGTGCAAGGTATCGAAACCAATGACGTCAAGTTTATAACCTTCAATAACGAAGTTCCGGATTTTGACATTTATTTCGTTCTAATTGGCATTTACTTTAATGCAATATATATGGATTAGAATATCAACAATTAAAGAAAAGTGTCGAATTATCGAAATATCAAGTTTTATTTCAATAAAAATAATTATCGTGTTTCTAGGTTATAAAATATTAGGTGTGTTTAATCGTGTAACCTAAAATGTGACGTGTCTGTGTACGTTTGTTGTAAAGTGAAATATTTTCAATAAATGTGTGAAATACTCCATTATAATTATTGATATCGATTTTATTAATACTGTAAACAAAAATGAGTGATTTATTTTTTATTGTTCTTTAGTAAGATGTTTTGTATGAATAGTTAGCAGTCAACCACATGTTTAATATTATTTCTAGATATTTGCGTTGGTAGTAGATACATACGCCGTCATTTCGATGCGGTTTATTTTCGATTGTGTAACAGAAAGGGTCAAGTAGTCGTGGCCCTTCAATGAAAGCGATGGACACTATCAGCTGTCAACGTGATATATCACGCGGTATTTGTAAAGACAATCTCTTTGCTGATTGGTAGAGCAAGAAAAATTCATTTGCATTCGATTCGGTGATTCCAGTGCGAAAGGAAATTGAAGTAAAGGTATTTATGACCTAGAATTATGAAATTTGTTACCAACTAATTGTGTAATTAAATTAGAGAAAAACTATTCAAGGCTATTATTTCTCTTTACTTAGTAAATCATGTAGTTAAATCGTTCGTTTTTGTGTTCGCCTTAAACGATTACGATTTTCTCTACGTTGCGTGCGTCTTATTACCTTGTCCAATAAGAATAAGTCACTATTGTATACTCTCGAATGAATGGGTATCGAATCAAATGGCGCGAAAACTATGCTAATTTGATTTATCTCATAAGAAAAATCTAGTTAATTATTCAGAATAGAAAATTGGTCTCAATTATTTTAAAGAATAGTTCACTTAAGAATCAAAATTTTACTCGAGGGAAATATATAAAATATAAGCTTAGTTATTTATTGTATTATTTGCTAAGTTATCTATTATTATTTTGATAAGATATTCAATTTTTTATTTTAACAATGTCTTGTGTTAGTTTACAATTACCATAAATAATTTTTGTCCTTGTACGATACGAGTACGAGTTAATGCAAGACATAATAAAAAGAGGTTTTAAATAAGTAACAAAAACCACAATACGATCACCTTCGAAGTGCACTGACATTACGTAGTATGTTGCTATGTTCCTAAGCTTATATATATACATAGTAATACACATACTAGTTTAACATACACAGTAAGAAGCACGTTACGTTCAATTGTGACTAACACGAGCTGACTATTTATACGGATTTACTTGTCCCAATACTTTTGCACGTAACCGTACTCCCAGGAGGCGTACCCTCTCACGTTCATTCATAGCGTATTAACGTAAGGCTTAAAAAGCGAAGAAGGTTGATAGCCAACTTTTCCTTCGTCCATACGCGAGTTTCGCTTCTCTCCTTCGCGTTACTATATAAACGATCAACTAGTCCCGGATAACTTTCAGTGAGTGACACGCGGTATAGCGTTCCCGATACGAGCGTTTTTTTTCCAACAAGCTTTTACCGTTAGTGTGCAAAGAGATAGCGAGAGAGATAGAGAGAGAGAAATATTGAAGGTAGTCGAAGAATTTCAAGTTACTTCAGAGATGCAAATTCAATCAACACATCAATTATACTGTTCTTATGAATCACATTTCTTTCGAGTTTAAGGATTTTGTTTTACGAAATATTCGTGTTTTTATGAAGATATTCTTGAATAATATTAACCGGTTTTTTTGAAATCGAATAACGAAAAAGTTAAAAGTCACATTTGTTTTTTTGAAAATTAAATTGCCATCAAATATGTAGAGTTACGTAGAATCTCTTGAATGAATTCTTGTGAAAGGGCAGGTGCACGAATAAATAGATTTCTCCCTCTGGTATACAGCTGCACAGAAGATAGCGTAGCCTCGTAATTATCGACGCATCGACTACTACTAGATCACTGCTTAAAACTCGTAAGTTTATTTTTGGAGGATAAAAAAAAGGGGTCATTCGATATATTAGAAGCGTTGTTTCGTTTTCTTTTTCTTTACCGAACAATAATTATATATTAAATACAATTGCATGCTTATCTTTTAAAAAACGGTATTATTATTTTGAGAATCATTACGCAAATTTTTATTCGTAAAATGAGCTTGCTTTAACGAGTGTTTCCATGCTCGAGTGAAACTCTAATGAGAGACGTCGTCGAATAAAAATAACGATGGGGTTCCTAAATAATGATTGATACTTATATATATTATTTTATAAGTGATCAATTATTAAGAAAAAAGTCACGTAAGTGACTTAAGAGATTTAATTCCTAAAACGTGATTTTTATGTACACATGCGAAATTCTTTAAATTAAAATCATTTACAATGTATGCATATCGTTCGACATTTAATAACAAAGTAATACTAAGATTTATTGATAAAAATATCTTATTGATGAAATTCTGTTCATTTTCGACTTTAACAGGGGATTACATACAGAAAGTTAGTGCAAAAGATTATCAAAATGATAGGTTGTTGATATTTTATCAAGCATTTGATAATAAGTTCTACGAAGTCTCATTGCGTACTCAAATTGTAATGTCAATTTTAATTTCGCGAGTTTTATAATCATTAATATTACAATATATGTCAAAATAATAAATAAAAATTTCGTCATCGAATTTTCTTCTTCCGTCAACGTGCATACATGTTCTTCGAATGTTTTCGTTTTTTACAAGTCGACCTTACGAACTTTGCTTTTCGATAAACTCGAACGTCGTTGTTTCATTTGTCAAATTTCTTAGTTTATTAGTGCGTATCATCCTTGTTTGAAATTTATTAAAATCTGTTTTTATTAACTTTACCATTAAAAGAGAAAATCGTAAGTAAACAGAAAAAAATAGGGAGAAAAAGAGAGAGAGAAAGAGAAAACAAAAATAAAATTAGATATTCGAATTATCGAGTTATTAAATTTGTTTCTTTGCCTGCACCATATAAGTAAATTTCTTATCGTATCTTATCCGTAAAGCATTCGAGAAAGGCAGTCGAGATTGATTAATTTAGAAAAAATGAAAGCAGAAATAAGGTTGTTATGTCGTCATCGGGATGGACTTTAAAACAAAAACCAAACATATTACGACTGAATATATCTTTTCGGTTGTATGGTAAATTAACATACTTACTCTTATTAATGTGTGCATACGCTACTAACAATAAATACAGGTGCAAGCGATTTCCTATCACATATTTTTATTAACATACCCACATAACACGATAAGTTTTGAAATCTTTCAGCAAAGGTTTCGTAAAATATTTCCAAAAAATCTTTCAGTAACCTTGCAGGCATCATTCTAAAATATTTTGAAAAAGATTCATAAAAGATTTTACAAAAATATTTTAAAAACATTTCTAAAATATTTTACTGATAGAGTAATCTTTTGCAAGTCTCTTAAGGGTTCATTCTGGTTTATACGCTAAAAAAAAAGGCTATTTTCACGATTTTTTTTTAGGCTTAGAAGGATGCATATACATATGAAAGTTTTTGGGTATGATAAATACACTCTAGAAGTACGAGAAAATTTTTTTTTTATTGTTTTTAACATATTTTGACATTCAAAATGGCTGACAAACGTGAACCCTTCAAAAGTAGGTATGCTGTTRGCGGGCATTGAAATTTCAGAACGGCTGATCTAAAACAAAAAAATTAAACGGCTTTAAATTCAGTATGACAATGGCTATCGGGTATGCTAAAACTATCAATTTTTATGAAAACAAAACAAAATGACGGTCATTTTTCGAAAAAGAAAA